GATCATCTGGACTTCCTGCTTTTGCATCATGGCTGAAAAAACCACACACTGAGCAACTGTGGAAGAAATACTGAGCAAAGTTAAAAGCTGCCCACCCATGTGAGTACTCAGTCAAAGTGCTGAATGACCGTTCAAAAAGTGTGATCATTGCATTTCAAGTTATTTGCAGTATCAGGCACCTCCCTGTGTTCTCTTGATTTTTTTATTCACCAGTCTGGGCCTTTTCTGCAGGTGGCTATGGTAGCAAAGTCTTTATTTGTGTAGAGTAAAATCAGGGCGGTAGCAACCCAACGTATTATGAATATAATGCAGTGAGGTTTTCTGGCGTTGTGTTGTTTTCACACTTCACATTCCTCACAGTCACAGTCCTCTTTGAGAACGAGCTGCTTTTGTGTTTTTAGGTCGGGATAATAACCTAAGAAAATATGTATGCATCACTTGCTCACATAAACGATCAGTTATTTTAATTGTAATTTATAAATCCTTGGACTTGAATAGAATATGTGTTTCAGGAAGATTCACGAAAGACTCCAAATTTAACTCTTTGTGCATTTTACAAAGCGCGCCACTCTTTTCTTTCTAATGCATTCAATTTTATTTCTATAGTGCCGAATCATAACAACAGTCGCCTAAAAGTGCTTCACAGAAAAAACCCCACCAATCAGACGACCCCCCCACGAGCAAGCACTCAGTAACAGCTGGAAGGAAAACCTCCCTTTCAACAGGAAGAAACCTCCAGCAGGACCTCTGGAAGAAAGACTCATATTAATAATTTTCAGGACTAATGATCATCCTCTGAAAGTGTTAACTAAGAGCTTCATAACTGGAGGCAGTGTTTCATCAGCTGAAACGTTTTCAGATGTATGCAGCTCTTCTTTAAAACGTAGAATCTTCTCCACCCATATTTCCTCGAGAGGTTTTGTCTTTCCCCCTGCCACCACTGTAATTAAGAACACGTTCTCGAGGATTTGCCTGGTTAAATGGCAGTTACGTTGACTCAGTGCATGCAGTCCACCTTGTGGTACAAATTTGCATGTTATGAAATACTTTTATATACTCTCTCCTATGCGTTTGTGAGAAAATTAAATATATCACAGAAGATTCAATAGTAATGTGAAATATAGTTCTCTGTGATGATTTTGGAGTAACAGAAGACATTGTTGTATTTGAGAACAAC